AAATTTGCAAGAAAAAGGGAATAAAAAATAGGCTAAGAAAATTTCTAAAGATTTTCATTAATTATACAATAAAGATGAGGTATTAGAGGCTACAACAAGCAGAGCTATGTACGTTCAAGAAGTGGAGGTGGTTTATTTGTTACGCATACTAAATACCATGAGAATGATAACATTTGGCATCTTCAGCAGTTTGGAGAAGGAAAATGTCATGATCATAAGACAAGCATATACGGTGTCGCCTACCGTTCAAACCTCAGCGTCAGAAGGTGGAAGTTCTTCGATGGACCGAGTGAACTCGTCCAAGTATTTGTTACTCAGCTCTACACTGCCAAAAATCTCCTTCACTGCGAATGCATTTGCTCTGAGTGGCTCCCCCTCGGGATCCACCATGACTCGCTTAATAGACTCAGCCACCAGGTCACTTGTGAATGATCCATCAAGATCGTTTCTTTCTATTTCCAACCCAACCTTTTTGCCATGCATCAACCTGGCAACCAACCCAAGATCCGAACTCGCACCGGGGAATAATATCAAAGGCAGACCAAATCCGAGTGCCTCAATAACTGAACTCCAACCGCAGTGAGTCAAGAAACCACCAACTGAGGAGTGAGTCAAGACCCTGAGTTGAGGTGCCCAGCCCCGTAAAAGCAGTCCCCGACCTGAAACTCGTTCTTCGAACCCGGATGGGAGTATGTCCTGTACCAACTGTCCTTCAACTAAAGGGCGGTTTCTGACAGCCCAAATAAATGGCAGCCCGGATTTCTCTATCCCAAATGCCAACTCGTGCATGAACTCTTGACTCAAATTCACCTCACTACCCAGTGCAACATAAAAAACTGACTTGTCTCGTTTGCTATCAAGCCATTTCTTCGTTGCTTCCCAATTCTCATTTTCTTTATCTTCGTTACTTGGCAATGATGGCGGCAATAATCCAAGCGGAATAATAGGTTTCCGGTGAATCTTACTAAGCACACGAAGCGCGTCAGCTTCGACCTCATAGCAGCTCCTCAAAGCCAAAATTTTGCAACTTAAAATCAATGTTCCGACCCGTTGAAAATCGGACACAGAGTCCATACACTCCTGGTGACCCACCATTTCATGGAGCTTAAAAGCTAGGTTGTTAGGATAATCCAGCCACACTGGTGCCACCGTGAAGTCTTCTGGTCGTTGTCTGTTTCCATTGAACAGCTCAGATGGAGGGCCAAGGAAAGCGAACGTCGAAGCAGAAAATATACTGAAGTAAACTAAGTTGATGCCGCGTTGAGTAGCCACAGGCGGCAACCAGTAAGGAGCGAAATCGTGGATAATCCATTTGACTTGTGATGACTTTTTGAGGAACTCAGTCAACTGAGTTTCGAGTTTGTCATATGCCTTTTTGAGGAAAGGGACTTGGTGAATGAGTAAATCGGAGGTGGACTCAGCTCCTGGTGGCAGGCCATGAACGTGAGGCAAGGGAAGTTGTATAAAGCTCATGTTGGAGCAGAGATCTGGAGGAAGCTTCGGTAGGCGGCTGATGTTTTTAGGTGTGGAGATATAGTATATTTTGTGACCCTTTTGAGCTAAGAACTTGGAGACTTGAAGAAATGGCATGATGTGGCCATAAGCTAACCATGGGAACATTACTATATGAAGCTGTTTTTGGCTGCCATCCATAACTGGAAAATCAGACTGCTATTAAGTATTTAGAGCTTTTTCTTCAGTGTTTTGGTGTTTCCTTGCAATTCTCCTAGAGACTAGAGAGACCCTGAAGATGTACAGCCTAGAGAGAGAGAGAGGTTTGGTGGCCTTCTTATTATCATGAAGCCTCGAGAACACTAGTGGTTTTGTTTTTAAAATCTGCTACATTAGTAATTAACTTAATTGAAGTTGGCTGTCATCCACCACTTAATTATGGGCGGAGATATGCACTGATGCTTGGGTAAGTAGGGCAACTCCCACATGTTTTTTGTCAGTTAAAATAAAGCAAGTTCAATTATTAATATTAGAAAATTGATACAATTACAATATTCCAATATACTTGAGGCATGCAGACAATTAGAGATATAAGAACATATTCAAGAGAATATTTCCACCAAAACTTTCTACCAACAAGTATTTTAGAAACAATAAACGTTACATACTACTACGAGACAAAACATTTTAGAACGATTTATATTAAATATAACTACAAAAATTAAACAAGAGCCGAAAGTGGACTCCACAATAGAACAAAGTGCACAAATCAGCCCAAAAGCAGAAAAACGACAATGCCGAACACAAGAAACAGAGAATCAACAGCAAAGGAGAAGGAAAATACCAAAAATAAATAAAAAAACAAACATTAAAATGCGGACCAGCAAAGGAAAATCCCAAGAATCAGATCACAGATCATGAGGGAGAGGACTTCACGAGGTGGTCAGGCAGCACGTTCTCAGATCGAAGAAAAAAATATATAACTAAAAAATTTGAAAGTGAAAGAAATTAAAACATTCATTCAATAACTTAAATTAATAATTTTGCTCATCCTAGAAAAAACACAACTTTACTCTGCTTAACCTCTTTCTTTTTTTTTTCTATTTTTAATCATTTACAGATACTAAATATCAAAAAAGGGCAATGTAACTGTCCTTGCCCTCCTCGTTTTTCCTCACCATTTGTACTTTCCTTCCTATTAAATATTTAGTGTTAAAGTTGGCATGATCTTGCTTTTCAAGGGCAAAATACGCAACAAGTAACCCACCTTCCCAGCCCTTTTCAACACAGTAGGGGAGGACAAGATTCCCATTTTTCATTGGGTCAACGATGCATGGCCCATTTGCGACTCGTTAAGGTAAGTTGCTTTCCTTATTCCACCTATCTATACGAGCGTGTTTATGCACCAACAACAATTATTGTACATACTAAATTAGAGCAATGAAGCAGATAGTCACATGTTAAATTTGGGATATTACAAATATTACTGTTTCCTTTTTTGTGTATTTATTTTTTTATTTGTAATCATTGCATGATGTCTTAAATTTTATATGTTATAGATGATAAAAAATATATAAACAATGCTATGTAATTTGAAAAAGGGTGGGTTGGTACACCCACCCAAGTCTAGTAGGTGATGAATGACTATTAAGATATATGACCAACATAATTTGTGGAACCCAAATTGGTTTGACTTGCTTGGCCAACCCTCTATTAAACAAATAATATGTAGTTTTCATATTACAAGAGAAATATTTTTTAATATTTAAGTAACCAATTTCATAAAAAAAAATTATATTTAAATATTTGATATATTGACTGGTACATAATCTTTTTATTTAAAAAACATAATTTGAATCTCTCTTCCTTTAATTATAAAAAAAATTATCAAAAAGCTAAATTGAAATGCAAGAATCCCAATTATAAATTGAAGCTATTATTACATATCTCTATCAAATGATCAAACTTTGGAAGAAGTTAAACACGGGTCAATGCACCGATCGAGTGGACTGGTCTAGGTGCTTGTCATTCGACCGTGCAATCTGCATTGCCCAAAATCTTACCAGCAACCATGACTGGCCTAGTGGACGGGGCCACCTACTAAATTGTTTCAATCTTCAATATTTCTATCCCAAGCCCCTTGCCATGCAACAAACCAGCAACCAACCCAAGGTCAGAAGAAATTGCTCCAGAAACCCCACAAGACCAAGCCCGAGGCGAAACTCGTTCTTCCGACCCAACAGCCCTTCAACTAATGGGTGGCTCTTCACCAATGACCACCCAACTAAAGCGTAACCCGGATTTGTTCTAGAAGCGTACACAAACTCATCTCACCGCCTAATTCTCAACTCTTTACTACATAGCAAGCCATGTCTTCAATACTTCCCAGTTCTCCTCTCTTTTGCCTTCATTACTTGGTATGATTGATGCAGCAACCCTACTGGTTTCTGGTAAAGTTTAATTAGTGAGCAAAATGAAAGGGCTTATCCTCAAACTGGGAGCAGCTCCTTAATTAGAGTCGCAAAGTTACAGCTTTTTCAAGTGCTAGCTGTTCCGAAACGAGGAAAATCGGATACGGCCGGCTCCGTGCACTCCATCTCGATCCACGTGACTCATTATTCCAACGAGCTTGAAAGCTACATTACTCGGATAATCTATCCACTCAGGGACCACTTGTAAAGGAAGTCACCGCGCGATGGAGAGCCGGCAAAAGCCAGCGTAGAAGCGCTAGATAATCCAGTGAAGATTGAGTTGGTGCCGAGCCGAGTCAAGATTGTGGTAATCCAATATATAGGTGGTAAGGTTTTGCCATTTGAGGAAATAAACAATATAAATGTTTTTACGGTACATATACATGAATGTGTTTATTAAACTTCAAATTTATTATTTCATGAGAAATCAATAGTTACTTTTACGTAGCTACGTTTTGATTTTAATTCTATCATGATAATCTTTCTAAAGGTGTAGTAATGAACTTGCTTAATTTTGTAATAATTTAACTAATAATTAACTTGATTTACATTACATTAATTATAAAACTTTGTTTCTCTTTTCTTTTTCAAAAACTGATGATGTTTTATATTTTATGTACTGAATTAAGTGTATATATATTAAATCATTTCATTAAGAAAAAATATATATTGAATATCACAAAGAGTGTTAATTTCTACAAAATTAATTTACCGTGGCCATCCATAGCTTAACTTACTGATCTCTTTTTAATTAAGAAACTAAACAAATATAGCTGCGGATGCCATCCTACTTAATTACATAGCTTATTGACTCATGAGATATATATATGATCCTCTTTCATTTTATTTTATTTTTTCATAAATTACATCATATGGTAAGCTAATTTTGATCTTAAACTAAAATTTGACTTAACAGTTATTACTTTGGATTAGGAAGGTTAAAAATGTATTAATTTTGGCTTTCGACTTCTTTACAAAAAAAAATATATTATAACTGTTAGTAATAATAATTTTTGTTGCACATAAAGATAAACCAATTATGAACACAATAGTTTAAACTCTAAACTCTAGTCCTTAAAAATGGACAAGAGCAACATATATTGTGTATTCAGGTTTATAAAAGGAAAATTGAAAAGGAAGATCAGGGCTCACTGTGCATGGGGAAGAGGCAATCTCTAATGGAACATTAGCAGACCCACAGATTAGGGAGAGATTCTCAGCAACTAATTAACAGTACTAATTATGAGATGTACATGAAGAAATAGTATTTAATAGGGGCATGAGGCATAGGGTTATTGCTTATTCATATTGCTAAGGTGCTAATTAACTGCTAAGACACTTTAATTAAAAACATATAAATGATGCGGAACACCCAAATTTTAAATAGGTTTAAAGGATTTTGCAAGTTTTGAACACTGATTTTAACCAATAGAAGAGTTACTAATTGGAAATTGATTACTTGCACATCAGACAGAAACCCCATAAACTAACATGTCAGCTTTAGTTGTACGGTTGGTTGTGGGATGGATTTTGCGATCACTCTTGCAAATGAACTTCAAATTCTAAGCTTCACCTTCCCACCTTTTAAAATTGACTCTGCAAAAAAGAAAAAAGAGGGGAGAAAATGAGGGAACAAAAGGAAAGTACGTAACTCCACTGAATGTAGAGTTAGTGATGTGTGTTTTGCCTAGTTGGATATACACAGGAACCTTGTTAAACCATGAAGCAGGTCATAAAATAAAAGATTTTGATTGTCGGGAATTATGAAAATGGAGCAACGATTTTCTTTTAGTTTGAACCAAAAAAGAAAAAAGAATTCAAATCTAACTCTTTCGACAAGGAAGAACACTTTATCTAGCAGTGATTGAGTAATGGTTTGAACCAAGAAGTTAACCAACAAGTCGACGTGCACTTAAAAGTAACAGTTGACAAACTTTAATTCAGATTACTAGCTACAAAAGATATATAGTGGGGGAGAGAAAGAGGTGGGTGACGGAAGGAGAGTAAGCACATAAAGTTTCAAGCATGAGGCACTCATGCAAGAAGGAACCCTGTGTGCTCACTCTCTTCTGTCACCTTCCTGACCGACCTGGTCAAGTATTCGCACGACGACAACTGCTCTTATCTCGTTACCCAATTACAACCATCTTGCTTCATCCCATAGGCCCTAGGTTAGTATTGCACGAGCAAAGAAATCTGTGTTTCCTTGAATGAAGATGTGATGAGAGGTTGCAGCGCTTTTATAGAAGGTGAGAATTGGTGGTGATGACATCACAGATGAGAATATCTTTGACGTTTAACCCTTCCATAACACATGATTAGCCCTCATTGGCTCCTCTTGCTTCTTTAATCTCTAAAGGAACAATGAACAAAGAAAAACCCTTCAATCAAACTGTCTAATTTTTTCCTTTCTCTTTCTTATGTTTGTTTGTCGATTTATTTTTGCTTTCTTTTTCTTAGCTTCTACAGTTAGGGTCTTGCTGGTGCCAAACAAAGAATATATATATATATATATATATATATATATATATATGTCTTGACCGCCATCTGGAAACTTTATAAATTGCAAAAAAGAAAAGGTACACTATTTCAATGGAAATTAAGGTGAAGGCCGGCAGCCATGGGAAATTAAGCATGCAGGGCGGCAGAGAGGGCGCGAGTCATTTCTTTCAGTAGCATCACTTTTAAATTCTAGCCATGCATGTTTTTATACTGTCCATTTTGTTCAACATACAGAATCTATACTGTACAAAATTGATTTGTTCCATCCGTTTCAGATAGTATAATTGTTCCATGTGGCAGGCTGTAATGGTATGTTTGGAGATACGTATCCCAATTCAAGCACAATTTAGTGCATTATAGACTCAAATTCTAATTAAT